TTGAAAGTCACTATCCACGCACGACTCATCCTACACGCCCCCAAAGCAACCACTTCGGGGAGTAAACGCAGGCCTGCCAGAGTGTCACGGAGTTCTTTCACTCGGTCATGGTCGAACTCGTACGCCAGCATGCAAAAATACCATATTTAAACAATAAATCCTGCACGAAGGCTTGGCAATACGTCTTCATAGTCCTTGTCATCTTCAAAAGACCTGTTTCCGCGGCTCAAACCGGCCACTGTCGTCGCTCCACTTCAGCATGCCATTACACGTTCGTTGGCTTCAGCGGCCGGAAGTGGAACCCCCGCTAGGCCACCCCGACGGGACACAAATACGCAGTCCTGCGGCACCGAGTCAACCATACTTAATCGATGCGAGCAGCAGTTGCCGTGTCTTTTCTCGTTCGTGTATTCGTCCTAACGCTGTCCCATTCAATTCATTATGAACCAAAACCAGCTAGTCTACCTTCACACCTTCCCGTTATTTTTTTAGCCCACTTGTTTGTGGGGCAACTAGTTGGACATTTCCTTTTCTTCCGCGACAATGAGGACTCATTTTTGCAAACAGTCTGTGAAGTTAGGCTCGGCCATCCTGACGAACACGAAGATTTATCTCTGTGGCACCGAGTCAATCATACTTAGCTTATTCGTAAATAGAGGAAAAAGCAGTTTTCATCTCTGTAACTTATGATTTACTTGACAAGACATGGGAGGCTTTAAAAAAGAAAAAAAAATAACTGTCAGAAGTGGGATTCGAACCCACGCCCGGAAGACCGAACTGCGACCTGAACGCGCCTAGGACCGCTCGGCCATCCTGACGGAACACGAATGCACTTCTCTGTGGCACAGAGTCAATCATACTTAGCTTATTCGTAAATAGAAGAAAAAGCAGTTTTCATCTCTGTAACTTATGATTTACTTGACAAGACATGGGAGGCTTTAAAAAAGAAAAAAATAACTGTCAGAAGTGGGATTCGAACCCACGCCCGGAAGACCGAACTGCGACCTGAACGCGCCTTGGACCGCTCGGCCATCCTAACGAAACACGAATGCACTTCTCTGTGGCACAGAGTCAATCACACTTAGCTTATTCGTAAATAGAAGAAAAAGCAGTTTTCATCTCTGTAACTTATGATTTACTTGACAAGACACGGGAGGCTTTAAAAAAGAAAAAAATAACTGTCAGAAGTGGGATTCGAACCCACGCCCGGAAGACCGAACTGCGACCTGAACGCGCCTTGGACCGCTCGCCCATCCTGACGGATTTTTTTTTTTTTTTTTTCTTTATTGCCGGCTTCGCACAAAAGAAATACAATTTACGATCACATTTAAACAAGTTTAAAAAACACCAGCCTGGCTGTGACTGGTTTCATTTAAAACTGCTTCATTGTAGCCAACACATTCAACAACGACACCCATTCGGGTCTTTCTTCTCTGGAAGATAACACGTCTCTTATGTATACAATACTTTCCGTGAAGTATTCATGCGCACATCGGGCATCTTTATCTACGTGTCTTACTGCCATTCTAGTTCGCCACACGCTGTGAAGCACAAGCAACATAAACATATCATAAGGCACACCATCCTCATTTTCTACAGCCAAGAATCTAATACCGTGTGGTGTGATAGGCAAGTCCTTTTTCAAAGTACGCTGCAGAATGTCCCACAGAAAAACAGCATCCCAGCAATCAAGAAAAATGTGGTTGACAGTCTCGGGTTTCTTACAGATAAGGCAGTCCATCGACCACGGAACAAAGAAACCCTTTTCTTGTAACCATGGTTTTACGGGCAATGTTCCGCTGTGCAGCTGAAAAAAAAATGTCTTTGCACTTGCGCGTACGGTCATCATTTTCACTCTCTTCAATACGTCACGTTCAGCACCAACCTGGTATACTGATCTGTAGATAGGCTGAGGCAGCATTACGTCACGTAAATCTCTGTAAAGACGTTTTCTCTTTACAACAGATAAATATTCCATTGAAAATCTCACTTTCAGTATTTCATATGCCATTATAACTTCTCTTAAATATCCGCGTAGGTTACATTTCACAGACATACTTGATACCACATAATCAGGAATCTTATTAGAAAGTACAATTTGTAGAAATGTTCTCACAAACGGGTTACATTGGTCGCGTAAAAAAATATATCTAGACACAATTTGCTTGAGGAAGAGGTGAGCCAATCCTAAACCGCCATTTCTTAGTGAATGAAATAAGTTTGTTCGACTCGTACGCTCCCAAACCGACCCCCAAACAAACACAGCTAAGACTCGATGCAATTTCTGCACATTTGCTCTCGACATAAATAGGAACTGCAGAACATACCATACTTTGCAAACAATGAACCAATTGCATGCAGTCGCTCTAGAAAACATAGAAAGTTCCCTACCACCCCAGTTTCTTGTCTTCTCACGAGTGCTCTCACATATCTCTTTCCAGTAATCATCCGTGTTTTTGTAATGCTGGAGGGGTACTCCGAGATACTTCGTCGGTACAAGTGACCAGTTCATATTTGCAAAGTTTTGTGGGGTGGTCTCCCAAGAACCATGCCACAAGCCTAGGCATTTGTCCCAGTTTACTGCACTGCCTGTCATCTTGCAAAAAAAGGCCACATGACGTATCACTTCACTGACACTTTCCTTATCGCTACAAAACACGGCGATATCGTCGGCATATGTTAGCATTTTAACTTCACTGTTCATTAGCTGATACCCTTTTATTGTTTCATTGCTAATAATCTTCATGCAGAAAGGTTCCATATATATTGCAAATAATAAAGCCGAAATGGGATCACCTTGCCGCACACCGTTTGTCACTTGAAAGCTTTCAGTAAGTCGCCCATTAATTACAATACTCGTAAAGCACTCTCTATAGGCCATTTTTACCCCGTCCAAAATGACAGACCCTACATTAACATATTCTAATATCAAAAAAAGGATATCATGATTTACGCGGTCAAAGGCTTTTTCCAGATCTAATTGCAACATTGCAACCTTGCTACCAAACACATCGCAACTCTCCAGCACGCTTCTCGCTACATGAACATTTGTATTTATTGTGCGTCCTTTTATACCACAAGTCTGGTGTGGTCCAACTAGTATTTTCATCATCCTTTGCAACCTGCCTGCAAGAACCTTCATAAACACTTTATAGTCTGTGTTGGCTAAACTGATTGGTCGGTACGACTTGACGGACAATAATTTTTTGGGGTCGTCAGTTTTCGGTATGAGTATTACGTGCGTCTTTTTAAATGAGCCGGGCAGAACCTTTAATCTTATAGCCTCCGTGAAGACACGATGTAAGGCAACAGAAATAACACCTTTAAAAGTCTTGTACAATGCGGCACCAAATCCATCAGGTCCCGGTGCTTTGCCAGCCGCTAGGTCATCAATAGCCTTTTCTATTTCGGACACTTCAATCGCTATCTCCAGCTGCTCTCTCTCGTTATTAGAGAGCTTTGGTATCAAATGCAGAAACTGAGCCTCAAACCCTTCCTCTGCCTTCACTTTTCGGCCAAGTATGCCTCGGAAATATTCGACAAATACTTGCTCAATTGCTGTCGCTTCACGTACAATACCGCTATCAGTTGCAATCGCTTTGATTTCATTTCGCTTGGCGTATCTTTTTTCATCCCCAAGTGCACGCTTTGTTGGTGTTTCGCCGAGAGATAATTTTTCTGCACGTGCCCTTATCACCGCCCCTCTATATTTTTCAATGTCAATTGCCTCCAATTGGTTTTTTAACTGCCTTATTTCTTTTGTGTACTTTCCTGGCATTTTACTTTCTAGACTCAACGCAAAGTCTAACTGACATTGCAAATCTTTTTCTTTTTCCTTTTTGGCTCTATGTAACACACCGGATCTTTCTATGGCTTTCATCTTTGTTACCTCCTTAAAACGCTCCCAGGCTTCAATCACGTTCGCTTGAGGCTCAGCTAACATTTTGTTAATGGAATCCTGCACAGCTTCAACGAACAATTCATCTTTTAATAATAAGTCGTTTAATTTCCACACGTCCCAGTTAAAGCGTGTCTTCTTCTTTTTATACCCTATAGTGAACATTACTAAACTGTGGTCACTGAAAGACACACTTTTTACTTCATAATTCGAACATACTCGCATTAACTCTACTGACACATAGGCTCTGTCTAGCCTCGCATGGCTTTCGTTCTGAAAGTGTGTGAAGTGCTCTTCTGCAGAGAGCACATCACCAACATCTTCGAGATGACAATCTTGTACAATAGTGCAGAGTAGCGCTGCACTTTGGTCTTTTATGGCTGCTTTTTTTTTTTTTGCTCTGTCCTGAGGGTTGCAAACACAATTAAAGTCGCCGAGCATAATGACAATCCTGCCACAGCTAAGAAAAGTCTGTAAATTCTCAAACAATAATTTACGTTCAACTTCCTTGTTCGGTGCGTAAACACAGACAACTCGCCATTTTTTATTATTATATGTAAAATCGCAAACTATGAATCTCCCAGTACTAGACACAGTTACAGTCTCCTCAACTATACCAATAGAATTTTTAAGGAACAGTGCACAACCGCCGACATTCCAACGGCATGAGACACACACACATCATACCGGGCTCTAAAAGGGGACACCATTCGGTCAGTCTGATCTTGCCCTTCAACTTTTGTTTCCTGAATGGCAATAACATCGAGATCACGTTCAAGCATCAAACGACTTAATTGATACTGCCTTCGTCGAGCGGCAAGTCCCCTGACATTGAGTGTCGCAACTCTCAATTCTGCTTCGACGCTCATAGCCATTAGGACGTGAATGGCCGTCCCGGCCACATGGTTCTCACCTCTGATGCTCCTTTATCACCATCAGGTCCAAGGTTCGATATGGTCTGATAGGTCCCCTTTCTTTTGATCACAAAAGTAGAGCGCCGCGCACGTTTCACGCAGCACATTATGCACACTTCACCACTGCGCTCCATTTGTTGGTGCTTCCGCCGGGTCAATACTTGTGTCACTTAATCCAGACCCCCACCTTACGGGGGCTTTTGATCTGAAGGGGGCCCCGCTGAAGGCCCCTTCTGTTGATGATCTGTCAGTCGCTGATGCAATGTCTGCTGATTCGGCACTGGTTGCTGCTGCGGCGGTTGTGTCTGTTGCACCTGGGTTGGTGGGAGGTTCTCGGCTATTCGACGTTCGCTGAGGATGTTAGGTGCCGGTCTACGGCGCACGTTCATCGCCTTGGCCGGTGGTTGTTCCACTTCTTTCATTGTAGCAGCCTTCTCGCCTTCCGCGTCTTCCCTGGGCCTTTTACATGTATTTGACGTGTCCATGTTTTCCGACATTTCTTCCTGTGCTGCAAGCGTCGTTATATCTTGTGTGTTCCTCGTGGATTGCACGTCTTTTGTAGAACCCTTGTCTTTGTTAAGCGTCGTCTCAGCACCTGTGGGGCGTGGCGTAAGGGGCGTCAACTTGGGTTTCGGTTCCTCCCGACGCGCCCCTATCAGCTCTTCTGCTTCAGCCTCGTCCATGTGATGCTCGGAAAGTTCTTCGCCCCCCGCGGGCCCTGCTACACTTGCATATGTTCTCATACAGCCGCTCTCATTATGCCCAAAACGCCGACACACTGTACATCGTGGGGCTCGGCAATCCCTCCTAATATGACCTGTTCCGCGGCAACGCAGGCATAGCGGTGCTCTTCCCGCGACGACAACTAGCGTGAGGTCTCCGGCAATCCGCAACTGATGTGGGAGGTCATCCACCGTGAGGCCAGCTTTAAGCCTGATGCTCACCACTCGCGTCGAAGAGCCTTTGTCCGTGCATCCATACACGCGCCAGCGCTCTCGCACTATTTCGTTCACCTTGCCATAAGGAGCCAACGCTGCCCTCACCTCGTCGTCAGGAACGTTAAACAATAGCCAGTGTATCTTCAGCTTCGTATCCTGGTGGTTAGGGTCGATAGTGATACAGCGCTGGTTCTTCACCACAATGTCCCCAGCAGCGAGTATTCTCTTCTTGCCCTCCTCGTCCTTGAAAGTGATGGCCCAAACATGATTCATTTGGTACGCCCCCAAGGCAGCAACCTCGGGAAGCAAAGCCAAACGAATAAGAGCGTCCCTGAAATCCTCAACGCGATACGGCCGCGCCTTGATATCGGCGTGCAAAAAGACAGTATGCAGCGTTGAATCGTTTGATGGCAGTCGGGGCAAAATAATCTGATAATCCTGTGACGATTCGTCCATGTTCCTGGTACCACGACCGAGCTGGGCCGTTGATGCCGCTCCGATATCGCCGGAGCTCATGCCGCCACGTCCGTACACTACGGTGACCGGAAGTGGAATGCCCATCCTGACGGAACACGAATGCACTTCTCTGTGGCACAGAGTCAATCATACTTAGCTTATTCGTAAATAGAGGAAAAAGCAGTTTTCATCTCTGTAACTTATGATTTACTTGACAAGACATGGGAGGCTTTAAAAAAGAAGAAGATAACTGTCAGAAGTGGGATTCGAACCCACGCCCGGAAGACCGGACTGCGACCTGAACGCAGCGCCTTGTCCGCTCGGCCATCCTGACGGAACACGAATGCATATCTCTGTGGCACAGAGTCAATCATACTTAGCTTATTCGTAAATAGAGGAAAAAGCAGTTTTCATCTCTGTAACTTATGATTTACTTGACAAGACATGGGAGGCTTTAAAAAAGAAACAATAACTGTCAGAAGTGGCATTCGAACCCACGCCCGGAAGACCGGACTGCGACCTGAACGCAGCGCTTTGGACCGCTCGGCCATCCTGACGGATTTTTTTTTCTTTATTGCCTTGCAAATCATGACTGTTCACATTTTACATATTTACATATTGGTCCATATTCAAGTGCGTCACAAAATACACCCACAGAATTCATTGAGGTACCGTCAGCTCTTGGCTGACTATTAATCAATACTTGGGCATTCGTAACAATCGCTCAATGCACCCAATCCAGTCTGGCACATCCTCTTGGCTTTTCAGCATTTCAAGAAAATGGCACACAGATTTGCAAAAATATTGGCGCACAGCTAGCACTTCTAAATCCGCGTTTTCAAAGGCACATCGGGTTTTCCATATACTGTGCAGGCCCAGAAGCATGATAAGATCATAAGGTACACCTGCCTCGTTTTTAACCGAAAGAAAACGGATGCCATGTGGACTTAACGGTAATTATTTTTTCAAGGTTCTTTGCAGTATATCCCAGAAAAAAACCCCGCTCCAGCAATCTATAAACGCGTGTTCAATTGTTTCCGGTTTATTACACAAGTGGAAATTTGTGCTCCATTGCACGAATATTCCCTTATCCTGCAACCACGTTTTAACTGGTAAGGTACCAGTATGTAATTTAAAGAAAAAAGTTTTGACCCCTGGCGCTACAAGCATTCTTTTAACACGTTTCAGAACATCCTGTCCTGGGCCTGCACAATATAGCTGACGGTACAATGGAACAGGCAGTAAAACATCGACAAGGTCTCTATACAATTTTTTACGTGGTACTTCAGCCAGATACTCTAACGAAAGTCTTACTGACAAAAAGCGGAAAGACGAAACAACTTCTTTTAAATACCCTTGTATTGGTCCTTGCATATTTGATGATGATACGAGAAATCCCGGCAGCCCTCTAGATAACCTTAGTTGTATAACAGTTCTCAAAAAGGGGTCATCCACATCACGCAGAAAAAGGAAACGATTGACAAGTTGTCTTATGTACAAATGAACTAATCCGAGTCTACCATCTCTAACTTTTCTGAAAAGGTTTGTGCGGCTTGATCTTTCCCATACAGAGCTCCATATGAAAATTGCAAATACTCTGTGTATTTTCTGTACACTTATTCTACTGCAGTGCAAAACCTGCATTACGTACCACAGCTTGCTCACCAGAAACAAGTTGCATGTTGTGGCCCGTGCGAATATCGAAATACCCCAACCTTTCCATTTTTCTACATCATTGCGCAATGTCTGTGTTTCTTTTTTCCAATACGGTTCACTGTCATGATAGAACTCCAGCGGCACTCCTAAATACTTCACTGGTGTTTCCTGCCATTTAATGTTTAGAAATACTCTTGGCGTGACGTCCCATTCCCCATGCCAGAAGCCAAGGCACTTATCCCAGTTCACGGCACTACCACTCGCCTGGCAAAAGGTTTTCACGGCATTTACAGCATGCATTATACTCTCATAATTTGTACAGAAAACTGCAATGTCGTCTGCGTATGCGAGGAGGCTAACCTCAGCTTCATGCAGTTTGAAGCCGCTTATTGCAGGGTTATTAATTACACTTAAGCAGAAAGGTTCAATGAAAATAGCAAAAAGCAGGGGCGATAGTGGACACCCCTGTCTCACTGACCGCAGCACAGGTATACGCTCACCCGCAGTTTTATTTAATACCAATCTCGTCGTGCATCCAGTGTAAGCCATGCGCACTCCTTCGCTAATCAAACTCCCTACGTTAATGTGCTCAAGTAATGAAAGGAGCACGTCGTGCGGCACGCGATCAAATGCCTTTTCGAGGTCAATTTGAAGCATGGCAACATTGAGATGCGTAACGTCACAACTTTCTAGGATTGATCGTGCTATGTTTATGTTGGTCATTATTTTCCTTCCCTTTATGCCACAAGTTTGGTGGGGCCCAATCAGTTTTGTCATAACTGTCTGGAGTCTTCTGGCCAATATTTTCATCAATATTTTATAGTCAACATTAGTTAGGCTAATTGGTCTATATGCAGTTACATTTCTTAACTTCGCGGGATCTTCTGTTTTAGGTATTAAGACCATGTGGGCTGACAAAAACGATGGTGGAAGTTGTTTACACTTAAAAGCCTCGTTAAATACCTCCCTCAAAATAGGTGAAACTACGTGTTTGAATTCCTTGTACACTGCAGCACTAAGGCCATCTGGTCCTGGAGACTTACCATTGTTTAACTTATCAATTGCTTTTTCAACTTCTCGCTCTGTTATAGGCAATTCTAAAATTTTCTTTCTTTCGTCATCAAGTCTTGGCATTAATGAAATGAAATCGCTATTAAAACGTTCTGCGTGTACACTGGTTGGTGTGAATAACTTTTTGTAATATTCGAAAAAAGCACCGGCTATTGCTTCTTTCGTATGGCACCTTGTTCCTTTATATTCTATTTCTCTTATTTCATTCTTACAGGCATGTCTCTTCTCAGCTCCAAGAGCTCGTTTTGTTGGCATTTCTCCCGCTACCAAGTTTTCTGCTCGAGCTCGAGTCAATGCTCCACGATAACGTTCTTGGTCTATCAACTCTAGCTTCTGTTTAGTTATGTTTATCTTCTCTGAAAATGTTCCGGCCTGAGTACATTCATCCGCTACTAACTGTTGCAAGTTTTCACGCAAACGCACTTCAAGTTCTTTTTCAGCATGTCTCAGGATACTGGCTCTCTCAAGTGCTTTCAGTTTAAGGGTCTGTTTAAATATTTCCCACTTATGTCCCCAGGATTCAAGTGTTCTATTTGCTAAGTCTTCTATGCCCTCTAGAAAAATCCGATTAAACTCTTCATCCTTTAGTAGCTTTACATTAAATTTCCAGAGGTCCCAAGAGAAATGTTTGTTATTCCTTTTATGTTTACCCATTGAGAATGAAACCAAACAATGATCACTAAACGTAACAGGTGTAACTCTGTAATCATGGCACGAAGGAATGATTTCGGAAGACACATATACTCTGTCAAGTCTAGCATGGCTTGAACGCTGAAAGTGGGTAAACATAACCCCTTTTCCACTGCAAAGACATTCACCCACGTCCTCTAGCTGAGCTTTCGCCACCATATCAATTAGAACGGCAGTGCTTAAATCTCTGTATGGCCTAGAACTTGATTTATCTATACTCGAACAAACGCAGTTGAAATCCCCAGCCAAAATTAGTTTACGTTCACATTTTAAATACACATCAAGTTTTTCAAAAAACTCCTTTCGATCTTGAATCACAGTGGGTGCGTACACACAGATTACTCTCCATTTTTCTCTTGGTAGGGATAAATCACATATAATAAAACGACCCGCCTCGCAGGTAGTTACAGACACCACTTTCGCATTAAGGCTCTGCCGCATTAACAAGAGATAACCTGCAGACGCACACACCGCGTGACAAACGCACACATCAAACACTCTCTTGAAAGGCTGCACCATTCGCTCAGCGTGCTCTTCACTCTCTACTTTAGTTTCCTGTACAGCGACGATGTCCAGATCTTGTTCTATAATCAGGCGGTAAAGCTGGTTTTGCCGCCGTTTGGCAGAAAGCCCACGTACGTTTAGCGTCGCCAATCTATTCGTCGCCATCGTGATGAGAGAAAGCCGAGCGAAAGACGCTTACCTTACCAACACCTAAACCACTTTCCGGGCGACGCTCAAGGCGTCGTCCCGTCGCCGCCGCGTGAAAGCGACGACGAACGCAGGCGGCCAGCACCCTGAGACTTTTTGGAGCCAGCCACTCGCCACTGCCCTTGATGTTCCTGGGTCAGACGCTGCTGGGACGCCACGTCTCCCCCATTCAGGCGTCGCTTTACTGGCGTAGCTTCAACTGTATCCATGTCCGAAGTAGCGTCGGACCCGATGACTACTTCAGCCTTGTGCTGGGTTTCCATTTGAGTCGAACGCCGTTGCGTTGGAGTGCCCACAACCATATTTTCATCTGTGCCTGTGTCTTGCTTAGGTGTCTCCGTCTTTTCCTCGCTGGTCGCCACTGCATGAGACGCCTCCTCTCCTGCCTTCGACGCCGCGGCCCTCTCTGCTTCCTCTTCATCCATGAGCAATTCACTGTGGTCGGCATTTGTTGCTCGACTTGCTGCACTGGCATAGGAACGAGTACAGTCCGCCTGCTCATGCCCAAAAGCGCGACAACCAGCGCACCTGGGCACCCTGCAGTCGCGACGAATGTGTCCCGTGTTCCGGCAACGCAGGCACAGCGGTGCTCTTCCTGGCACGACCACCAGTGCCATGCCGCTTCTGAGACGCATCTGGTGGGGTATGCGATCCGTAGTAACGCCTTCTTTAAGTAGTAGCCGAACGAATCTTGTGGTTGACTCAACTCCTTCGAAGTCTTCGTCTCTCCACTTGTCGCTGATAACTTCTTTCACTTCACCGTACTCCCGGAAAGCACGCCGTACAGTCTCTGCGTTGACGTCAAAGGCTACCCAATGCAACTTGAGACGCACCTCTTGCCTTTCTGGGTCGACGACGACGCAGGGCCGGTCTTTCACGGAGAGTAGGCCAGCGTCCAGAACTATCTTCTTGGCTTCATCTGTCTTCATGTTAAGAAGCCAGACGTGC